CCTTTTGAATATCCGCACCACCATCAAGGAAGTATGGTGTTTTTGTGTGGTGTTTTGTTTAGTTGTTTTTTCCTTTCTTTTAGAAAAAGAAGTGGTTACTTTTTTTTTTTTTAGGAAACAAAGGAGGTAGGTAAAGAACGTAGTGCATTGTGAAAACAGTAAATGCCACTGCTTCCTGCCAGCTACCTGCCAGTCCTTGGGAGAACTATCCCAAGGCAACTGACTTGAAGATTACTTTGGAACAGAAGATAGCTCGCTCTCGCTCTCTCGCTCGCTCTCTCTCTCTCTCTCACACACACACACACACACACAGAGAGAGAGAGAGAGAGAGAGCAGAGCAAGCAACAGGAGGCAGCAGGATGCTTGCCACTGAGTCCCTAGATTTGCAAGCATCCTCTCTAGTCCTGGCCAAAGCTAGTTATTTCCTGGGCTGAAGCCAGCCTGAGAACTGGGGGACTTGGGGACCCTGCCAAAGCCTTGACAGCCCCTAAGTCTGGCTCTGTGACCAGAGTCACACAGGAAAGTCATTAATTCTTTGAATAAAAGTTCTGTAATGAGCATGGATCCCACTATTTGCTCAGCAACGAGCTAGATGGATAGAGGATATTGGGGCATTCACTTGAAAGGACACAGAATATTTGGGAAAGAGGACTAATGGCATACACGCTTTGAAAAGTTAAATAACCACACAAGAGGTGCTGCTCAAAGCAGTGTGTCAGTAAATGCCAGATGACCTTTCAGAAGAGGGAGCTTTCAGAGGCTAAGTTGCCATGGGAGAGACAAGAGGGACACTGTGATTGAGTGGCGTGAGCCTGGAGTTGGAGACAGACAGACTGGGTATAAATCCTTGCCGTGTGATTACAGACAAGTTCCTCGCCTTCTCAGAGTCCCCGTTTCATTTTCTGTGAAAAACACACGCTAGAATCTGGTTGCAGAGCTGACGAGATTACAGCACCAGTTGGCAAGACTCTAAAGGTCTGAAGGTGGTGGTTGTTGGTTGGTTGGTTTTTTTGTCTAAGAAAACCATAGAGTAGTTGAGCATAGACATTTAGGTAAGATTGGCTCAGGAGCAAATAAGCAAAAACAAATCTTGGAAAGGGGAAAATACTAGGGAAAAATATTATCGTATCTAGTGAGTGGATAGTTTAGTAAGTAGAAAATTGTAAGGGAGACTTTTTGTCTTCTTCTTAGCATAATATTTATAATTTTCCCTAAATATGAAAATGAGTCATGTCCATCATTGGAGATTTGGAAAGTATAAAACAATGCAAAAAGGGGAGGAACATAGGAAAGTGTCAACTATCCATAATCCTGTACCCAAAGAAAATCTCTGTAAATATTTTTGCTTTCATTCCCAAGGGGCTCTTTTCCTAATGTACATTTTAACATAACTGAGATCACATTAAATATGCTTTTTGAATCCTGAGTTTTTTGCACTAAACATTCATAAGCATTTTCTTATGTAATTAAAATAGTCTCACAAAATACCACTTGTAATGGCCACGTGGGATTCCATATGTAGTTTACACCCAAATCTTCTCAATTATTCCACAAGCAATGAGCATTCATGGCTGTTCAAATATTTCACTACGCTAGATAATACTTCAGTGCATATAAATCCTATTTCCTCAGGATAAATTCTGACAGAATCACTGTTGGAAGCTTCCCACTAAATACAGTCAAATTGCTTTCCGACTCCTGTCCCACCAGTCACTAAAGAAACTGGCTTTATCAAATCCTGAAGTTGAATAAAATCTTCGAAGAGTTTCTGCCTAGTTTAATAGCATTTCATTGTTCTCTTAATTATCTTGCTTCCTTTGGCAGATACACGTAAAAGGATCTACCAGGGGCCCTCTGATAAACAAAGGAATTGCCTTTTGTCTGCAAACAAGCAACAAACATTTGTTGTGCAAACTGTTTGACTCTGGATTTGTCTTCCTTCCTTTTTTGGATAGTGCTATAAGATTACAGGTTTCAGGTGTAGAATTTCCAGGTCAAATGCAGCTAATATTCAGGCCAAAATGTTTTGACCACTACTTAACTGCCTTAGGGGGCCCTGATAGCCTAGTGGTAAGAAGCTGCATTGCAAAACCAAAAAATCCACCGGATACAAGGAGGGAGTAGGATGGACAATGTCCTCTGAAAACCTACTGGAGGGAAGCTGTGGATTGGTCCCATGGGGATGGCACACAACAACAACCAACTTCCTTAAGGCACACTATGCAATCAGACTGAAATTCTGCTGCTGTACATAAGTGCCAACGTGTCAGCTACAACTCATAGCGACCCTATGATTCACACCTTGCCCTATCCTTTGCCTTCATCAGGATCTCCACCGTACTCAAGCCCATTATTATTGTCCCTATGTCAATATATCCTGTCTAGAGTCTTCCTCCCCTTCTCTGACCCTTCACCATTCTCAGCATGATGTGTTCATGTCAAAAATATGAGACAAGTCTCACCATCTTTGTCTCTAAGGAGCAACCTGATTGCACTTTCTCCAGGACAGATTTGTTTGTTGATTGGCATTTACAACTCAAAGGTGTGACTTGTCATTGTTAGATGCCCTCAATTCCAGCACAACACAGCAACCCTATGAACAGGCAACATGCACCCTGCCTTATCCTGTGCCATCCTCATGCCCTCTGATGCACCAGAACTCACTGCTGAAATCACCATGTCAATCCATTGGGGGTCTTCTCCTTTGCTGACCCTCCATTTTTCCAAGTATGATGTCCTTTGCCAGGGAATAGCCTCTCATAACAACATGCCGAAAGTATGTAGGATGAAGTTTTACCATTCTTGTCTCCAAGGAGCACTCTGGCTGCACTTTTTCCAAGACATAGCTGATCTTTTGGCAGTCCATGGGATATTCAGTATTCCCCTCCAGCATCACAACTCAAAGGCATCAATTCTTCTAATCATCCTTAGCCTTTGTCCTGCTCTCTGATGTGTAACAGATGATTGAAAAGAACACGGCCTGAACTACACACACCTTCCTCTTCAAACTGACATCTCTCAGTTCTGTGAACTCCATTCTTCTTCTTAGGTCTTCCTTATTCACTGTCCAACTTACAGATGTGTCAGAAGGGACATGCTGCATTGGGAAAATTTGCTCTTAAAAACCTGTTTAAAGTGCTCAAGAAAACCAAAACTAAAAATGAGGGGGAGTTATAAAAAAACTAAACTTTTAATAAAAAATTAAACAAAGGGAACATGGTTTAAAGGCCAATGTGCCTTTACCGAAGACAGGGTATTTTTCAATTGCTTTGCCTGAAATCTTAGTTCTGCCAAAATAAGGTGCTTGCCTGTGTTTATGAAAGTGTTAAGGTCCTGAGGTTCTAATGACTTAATAAAGTAAAAGTGCTGTGAAAAGATTTTTTTTTTCGTTCTACATATTATGACTGATTTTCTCTTGTATGTGTTCTAAATTGGCAGCCTCCAAGAGTCCCACCTCTGGGACCCAGTGTCAGCTTTCTCATTTCATCTGCGAGAGGGCACAACAGATGAGGGTTTCAGCCTTAGGGAAGAGGACCAGAAACACGAGGTGGGGTTTTATCGGATTAAGTGTTCGGAGTTGAGTCTGGACAGATCCTCCCGTTAGACCGTCGCTTGGGCAGGATCTTGTCCAGGCTCCCCTGGCAGACACTCGCACGCCTGTCCCCACTGTCACTCCTGCGGTCACTCCGCCTGTGGTAGCACCATTTCCCCGCCCTGCCTCTCACTCGCCTGTAGCTCCACCCAGGCGCCGGCTGGAGGCTAGAAAGCACTGTTGGGGCGCCCAGGGCCTGGGATGGAAACGCTCACTCCCTCCTCGTCCAGCTCTTCCACCTTATTGATCACCCTTCCCAGTGCTTGTCACCCATTGGGGTCATAGAAGAAGCTATATGGGCAATCTGAAACCCTGGGTGCAAGTCCAGCTTGGAATCTGGATCATCCTTAATGAACACTTTGTCTACCGTTTCCTTCAACTGCGCGCCCTTTCTTCTGCTTCTCTGCGGTCTCCAGGGCCATGGCCCTCCCGCGCACGCTGTCAGCCCTCAGTAAATACGCTGAATAGACGCATCTGTGGAATGGTAACACCACCCCACGGGTTGTTAAAATGAGTGCGTGATAGTATGAAAGCGCATACTGATCGGCTACAAAAAGTACTGTTGACGAAACTTCTTATAGTAAAGCACACACAAAAGTGTGCACACGCAGAAATGTCTGCCATTTGGGGCATTTGTTTGTTTTTTAAAGCACCATTTGTGAATTACCACCACTGGTATGCCAGGGAATCACAGTTCGAGGATTCCCACTTATTAGCAGTGGGAGAAATAAACGCTGGCAATCTACCCCTTTCAAGCTTCGCGTTCTAGGGGCTGTCGAAATGGAGAGCGCACCACAAAAGAGAATTTCCTGCCGAAAATGCAACCTATAACCTCTTCTCTTCATGACCCCGATCGTCTACCCTGGAGCTGCGTGCACGCACAGCCGTGCTCAGAAATCGTTTTAACAGGCTCAATCTGATGAGCGAGCCGGTCATTTCGCGCTGGGGCCCCACTCGCATGAGTGTCACCTACTGGCCGGGTTAGTCCGGGCCTCAGCGTCCCCCCGCGTACAATTCCCAAATCTGGATTTCCCACACTCAAGGGAGAAAGGGCGGATTTTTCGAGCCGCCTTTCCCACCTCCCTGGGGCGCATCCCACTTTTCCAAGTTCGGGAACTCCTTCAAGATTTGCGTTGAGATGGTCGCAGAAGGGCTTCAACCCCGGGACTTCCCTGATCGACTCCGCAGCCGCGGACCAGGCACGCATCCATGCGCCCTCCCCCCCATCTCCGCCCCGCCCACCCGCCCGCGCACGCGACGCATGCGCCGCCCGCGGAGTGTGGTTTTTATAAAAGTCCAGCTAAGGCTAGAAAACTTCAGTCTGTTGGCCAAGGCAGCAGGTAGTAAAGTGGCTCAGAGGGGTTGGGTTCTTCGGTAGCTACTGTGGCTTGAAGACTGGACAGTGACCATGGACGCAATTAGTGTAAGTCCTATTTCAACCTGCTTTTTATTAACGGTATAAATGCATAAACTTGAACATTGTTCCTCTCCCAGTGGACAGAAGTAATCTGACCATTGGAAGTGCCGGTTCCTAAGAGAGGGGTATCTGGAGAGGTGTCTTGTTTCGTGTGGCAGCACCGGGGATGGGTTTGGGTTATTTTTCCATTGTAAGTGGGGCCAGCAAAGTTGGAAGAGCCGTGTAGGTGACTGCACGCGTCTCCGCCTGGAGTCTCGCGCGCGCACTAGGCGTGCGTGCTGTTTGCAAACATAGGAACCTTCTGTGCCCCCGTGCAGCGAGGACACTCGCGCTTCCCAGACGCGGTGCAAAGGCTCTGGGTTTGGTGAAAGTTAAGTCTCTTAATTTAGAGGTAGAGCTGAGTTCCCAGAGGGCTAACTTTGGGCAAAGGAGACAGCTCTGCACGATTGGCGCTTGTTGAGAAAACTGCGTGGCCAGCAGAGATGTGCTGTTGCACGGACATAGAGTATAATAGCGAAGCGTGGGAAAGGCGAGCGGACCAGCACGTCGCTTACCCGAGTGGGAGCAGAAGCTGTTAGTGACTGGGAGCAGCCCGCCAGCCTTGGAGTAGGAAGGGAGACGTGGGCACTCGGAGCGCCAGCCCTAAAGCCTGGCCGCAGGCGGGGTGCTAGGGGCTCAGGCATCGGGGATCTTGTTGATCTTGCAGAGGTCGAAGGGGCCTAAGCAGTCTCGGCGCAGCAGCACCTGGAGGCGCGCGCGGAGGGTGGAGGCGGGCGTGGGGATTGGAAGACCACCTGAGTCGGTCCTGTCGCCGCGGCGCAGACGGACAGGTGCAGGCGGGGAAACCGTTTGGCTTTCTCGGAGCCCAACTGTGCAGTCTAACCGTCAGTGGTTTCCTGGAGCCTTTGAAAAAGCCCCTGGCTAGTGAGGCTTATTCGTTTCCTTTCGCGGCGCGCAATTCAAAGTTGCTCGGGGCGGAGCCGCCCAATCGCTCCCCAGCGCCCTGCGGGACAGCCAGCAGGGTAGCGGGCCGAGCCCGGGGATTCCGGGCCCGCCGGCTGCAGGCCTGCGCGTGGGGCGCCGGGGCGCGGGTGCGCTGGACTGCTCAGGCCCCCCAGTGTACCCACCACCTGGAGCCATCCGGCTGCAGACCGCCGACCCCCATTAGCAGTTATCAGGTGGCGGGGTGGGAAGGGAAGGGACCCAGGAAAGTGAGGAAATGAAACTTGGGGCGAGGACCACGGGTCCGAACCCCGTGACCTCCCCACCCAGGAAAATGCCGCGCCTTATTAACGTCCCAAAGGAGCCTAGTGATCAACACAGATAGGTAGGTAGGGCGAGGAGGCGCACGCCTCCTGGAGCCGGCGGGGAGGGTTCATTCCCTACCGACACCCGTGTGCCTGACCCCAAACACCCCCAGGGCTCTTTAAAGCCGCATTCCCCTTCTCCACCACGTGTTGCTGGAAACTACGGAATGGTTTGTGTTTAGACAAGGGTGTAGAGAAATGCTTTTATGCTTTAAGAGAATTATGCGTCTCTGGGACTTCCCAGTACTCCTCCCACCTCTTTTCTCTACTCCGGAGAATCTTCGTACAGAATGTTAATCCCAGCCCTGCAGACCCCTGCCTTCTGCACCTACCATCAAGCTGTCCTAGGCCCCACCAGGGAACAGTTCTTTGTATTTTTCTTCCCTCCCAAGGCTGGGGTTCTCCCCCCACCCCCTTGCCTCTTGTGGGCGGGGCAGAAGAGTTAACAAAGATGCGTCTTTGAAACCTCAGAATCTCAGCGCCCTTTTGTTCTAAACAAAGAATTTTGTAATTGGTTCTACAAAAAAAGAGGATGTAATAAAGTGCCCGCGAAGTGGGTGGGAGGGGTGGCTGTAGGATCCTCTAAGGCTGCTTTGGCGCCCTAACCCAGTATTTCTGTGGGAACCAATTTTCTAAAGAAGGTTTATGACCAAATTGAGTTTATGAAAATTGTTTTCTGACAAATCCCAGAAGCCCTTTTTGAACTTGCCTGCAGAGCTTGAGAGTAAATAGCCTTTCCTTTGCTTTTTTTTTTTTTTTTTTTTACAGGTCTTCATTTTAGATAATGAAACAGACGAAATGGGCTCAGGTGACTATGACTCCATAAAGGAACCCTGCTTTGGGGAAGAAAACGCCAATTTTAACCGATTCTTTCTGCCCACCATCTACTCCATCATTTTCCTGACTGGCATAGTCGGGAATGGACTGGTTATTCTGGTCATGGGTTACCAGAAGAAACTGAGGAGCATGACGGACAAGTACAGGCTGCACCTGTCGGTGGCAGACCTCCTCTTTGTCCTCACACTTCCCTTCTGGGCCGCTGACGCAGTGGCAGGCTGGTACTTTGGGAAGTTCCTGTGTAAAGCAGTCCACATCATCTACACGGTCAACCTCTACAGTAGCGTCCTCATCCTAGCCTTCATCAGTCTGGACAGATACCTCGCCATTGTCCATGCCACCAACAGCCAGAGGCCAAGGAAGCTGTTGGCTGAGAAGGTGGTTTATGTTGGTGTCTGGCTGCCTGCTCTGCTGTTGACTATTCCAGACTTCATCTTCGCAAATGTCAGTGTATCCGAAGAGAAATATATCTGTGACCGCCTCTACCCTAACAGCTTGTGGATGGTGGTGTTCCACTTCCAACACATCATGGTTGGCCTCATCCTGCCGGGGATTGTCATCCTGTCCTGCTATTGCATTATCATCTCCAAGCTGTCACATTCCAAGGGCCACCAGAAGCGCAAGGCCCTCAAGACCACTGTCATTCTCATCCTGGCTTTCTTTGCCTGCTGGCTGCCCTACTATGTTGGAATCAGCATCGACTCCTTCATCCTCCTGGAAATCATCAAACAAGGTTGTGAGTTTGAGAACACCGTGCACAAGTGGATCTCCATCACCGAGGCCCTTGCTTTTTTCCACTGTTGCCTGAATCCCATCCTCTATGCCTTCCTTGGGGCCAAATTTAAAACCTCTGCCCAACACGCACTGACCTCTGTGAGCAGGGGGTCCAGCCTCAAGATTCTCTCTAAAGGAAAGCGTGGTGGACATTCTTCAGTCTCAACTGAGTCAGAATCTTCAAGTTTTCATTCTAGCTAACACAGATGGGAAAAAGACTTTGAGGGTTTTTTTGATACTATAAAGAACTGGTTTTTTACGTTACACATTTTTTCCGATGTCAAAGACTGACCAATATTGTACAGGTTTTTTTTTATTGGCTGTTGGATTTTGTCCCGTGTTAGTTGTTGTGAAGTTTAATTGACTTATTTATATGAACCTTTTGTTTGTTTGTTTGTTTCATGTTGATGAGCGTTTAGGCAGGACCTGTGGCCACGTTCTTAGTTGCTGTGTGTCTGGTTGTAAGACTGTAGGAAGGGAACAGAACATTTCAGAGTGTGTAGCGAATCATATGAAGCTAGAAATGATCCTCAGCTGTTTGTGCATAAATAATCTCCATTCCAGTGGAACATCTCTTTTCCCCTGTCCTTAAGTGGTTTGGTCACACTCTTGAGTTTGCTGTACAGGATGGCCCTTCTAACCAAAGCCTCAAGTGGTATATAAATGGTGATTTTTTTCAGGCGTGGTTGATTTCAGAATCTACAATGTACAGTCTTTGTATTAAGTTGTTAATAAAAATGTTTATGATAAACTTCCTTAGTGTTATGTTCTGATTTCTATTGATATATTTATTTCTGTGGCAGAAAACAAAAGTAACACTAGAAACATAGATGATGTGCCAGGTACTGTTCTGGGTACTTCTGATATTTGAGCCTTGTCACAATTAGATTTTGGTTCTGTTACCTACATTTTCTAGATGAGGAAATGAGCACAGAAAAGCTAAGTGACTTTGTCAAAGTCAAGTGCTAGACAATACTTGAAACCAGGCAAGGTGACTTCAGAATCTGATTGCTTAAGAACTCCAAGATGAAAGGTTGGAAAGGCTTAGCCAGTACCCATTCCTTCAAAAGCCATTCTTCTGTCCTGAAGGGTAAATGTATAAAGGAAAACAGGTGTGTGATACAGTGCTTTATACTTTTCTCCTACTGTTCTATGTGTGAAAACATCCTCTAAAGCCAGGCCACGTGAAGCTTGTACATTTTTCACATCTCAGCACATAGACATCACTACTGCCCTTTCAGAAGAAAACAGAGATTTATAGACTTTTAAGTAGTATTTCAGGGCCTCACATACTTTGGGAGTGGATTTCTTATTTAAACCCTTGCTCATAACCCCTTACCCACTACTGCCCTTGAGAACACCTGGCCGTAAGTCAACTGAATTGACAACAAAAATAAGCCAAAAGTGAATGTTTTCTTCATTAAATTAGCTGTGCCAAATATATCCTCTTGCAACATATATGCAAATAGAAATTTTATTCTTAATCTGTTGCAACACCTAGTTAACTTCTCAAGGGTTCAGTGAAGCAGCTAAGAGATAATATTGGTGGTTTTAAAAGATCAAGAAAAATCCATGCTGCCTGCATTTTGCACAAGGTTTGGAATCTTGTGTAACATTGCCTCTAGCTTATCATTACACAAGCCCCAGGTTCTTGAGCAAATATAAATCACCTTTTAAGAATAATTTTTAAAGTCCACCAGCTATCCATAACTCCCCTTTGGAACACACACCAACCACTCTGAGCAAGCACTCTAAGATGATGACCAGGATGCAATTAAGGCAGTATTTGGGCTGCTTTTAGTAAGTGTTTCTGGCACAGAAAATCCATTTTGGAGGAAAAATTGCAATGCCTTATCTTTCTGAGGCAAATTGCATTTGTTCAAGGCAAATTATAGATCCTGTGAAGGGAAATAACTTAATTACTTAAAAATAGAATCCAATTTGGCTATACATTTTGCTGCAGTCTATGGATCTGGGATAATTCAGAGTGGTATTCCTATTTCACTTGAGAATACAATTGGATTTCAGATAGGAAATTATCTTGAGGTTTCTTGATTTTCCCTGGGAAGCCTAATTAGATCACCTTCCATTTAAACATAGTTTTACATGGACTCTCTCAAAGCCTGTCTTAAAACATTGAACATTGTAAAAGCTTCACTTGAACTTTACCCATAAATATTTTCTCAAGGAGACAATAGGAGAAATTCTTGGAAAGAATGGCTTCTCTTTCTCATCTTGGCTTGAAACCTTGCTGCCCCAAATTCATTTCCCTAAGCCATGGAGTCACAATAAAAGGAACTGAGCAGAACAAAATCCTCAGTCTTATCAGTCTTAATGGAGATTTCCATCTGCCTTGGAACAAAAGTGATAGATCTGTTGAGGGGCAGTTGTGGGGATAATGCAAGCTTTGGCTCTCTCCCTGTCACAAAAGGTGCCCACCTTCATTCTCTGTCCCCACCTGACATGGTGGAAGACTCTCCAAAGCCTTGCTCGGTCAGGTTGGTCTGATAACGCAGGGAATCCCTGTCAGCTGGACCCTGCATGAAGAAGCTCATTGTTCCCTGTCCTCATCCCTTATGAATGGGGCCCTTGAAGGTCAGTAATGTAGATCCAGTTGTATGATGGAAGCTAAAATATTTAAATTATATGCATGGTGCCAATAATGGCAGAAATATAATGTGAGTTATTAACAACATTAAATCTTTAGAAAGTGGACATTTCAATCCCTTAAAGCTTTTGTTTTCTTCAAATGCCACTTTGTAGTTTCCTTCTCCCTACCATGGGCTTCCCAGCACCCTTCTATGGCTCCATTTATGTTAAAATAATTCCAGAGTATTCTTTTATGAAGACAGCAATTCGAGTGACTTAGTAGTAAAGAGTACACTGCCAAGTCAAAGACACATGGTTTGAATCCACAAGCTGCTCCCCTGGAGAAAAAAGGGCAGTCTCTTGTCCAGATAACTGGCTCTGAAAACCTGCTGGAGGATCAGCTATGAGTCAGTTCCAACTTGACGGAACACAACAGCAACATTTTTTAGGAGGAGGAGCTACAGATTTTACTTCAGTAATTCACCAAAGCGTGCTTGATTTTCTCAACTTGTCTGATCTTTAGAAAGATTCTGCAGACAAAATTGGATTATCCTTATTCCCACATAATTACTTTCTCAAAGTAAGAATCCCTGAGATAAAAATCAGGTTACCTCAGAGAGCAATTCAGGCAGCCTGGCACTTGGACCTGGAGCTGCATGCAACCTTCCTGATGGGAGGTGCCCAGCTTGCTCTGAGGAGCTTCCCACTGGGCTGCCAATGAGGCTTAGTCAGTCAGTTCTGGAAGGGTCTGTAAGGAGTTGGATGACGGCCTTCCCTCAGTACTACTGAAGAGGAGAGATTAACGCCCCTGGGACCCATAAAGAAGTTGAAAAGAATCCTTTTAAAGCCATAGTTCTCAACCAGGAGCAATTTTATCTCTAGCCCCACACCCCTGGGGCACATTTGGCCATATCTGGAAACATTTGGAGGGGGGTGAGGTGCTACTGGCATCTAATGAGTGGAGACCAAGATGTTGCTAAATAATGCTGCAAGGCATAGGACGTGTGTGTCCCTGACAGCCAAGACTGAAGACTTTCAAGGTGAAGATCATGAAGTGCTTCACGTTCTCTCTCTCTTTCTCTCTCTCTCTCCCTCCCTCCCTCAATCCCCCCATCCTTCCCCCCCTTCCCTCCCCTCTCTCTGTCTATCTCTCTCTCTCACAAACACACAGAGTTATCCAAACCATAGCTGGCCCTATGGCAGGCAGGTTTCTGAGACTATAATTCACACAGGTAAGTTTGCCCTTATTTCTCCTGTGGAACCGCTGTTGGATTCAAACCCCAGCAAACTACACCACCAGAGCTTCCTTACTGTTGTTGTTAGGTGCCATTGAGTTGAGTATGACTCATAGCAACCTTATGACCAACAGATCTGAACCTTGTTCTATCCTGTGCCCCCTTCATCATTTCTGACATGCTTGAGCTCATTACTATAACCACCATGTCAATTTCTCTCGCTGAGGGTCTTCCTTTCTCTCACTGACACTCCACCTTTACGAACATGATGCCCCTCTCCAAAGAACAGCCTCCCCTAACACCACACCCACAGCTTCCTCCTCTTTGCCCTGTGAGTTCCCACTTAGGGTGAGAAAAGTTGATAAAGCAAGGACACATCTCATCAGTCTGACTGTAGGAAAGTGCATGAATCATGAGGAGGGCAATCTCACGCTACTGCGTTCCAAAGTCTCCCTTCATCATTATTGTTAGGTGCCATGGAGTCAGCTCTGAATCACAGATACAATGGTCCGAAAAACTGCCCAGTCCTGCAACATCTTCACAATCCTGTGCTTGAGCTACTGTCGCTGTGTCACTGTGTCAATCCATCTCACTGGGGTCTTCCTCTCTCAATGACTCTCTGCCCAGCATGATGTTGTGCTCCAGGGAACTGATCCTTCCTGATAACATGCCCAAAGTATCAGAGACAGACTCCCATCCTCTTTATGTCTAAGGGGCACTCCTCATGACAGATGTATTTGTTCTTGGCTGTCCGACGTATATCCCGCATTCTGCACTAGCACCACTTCAAGTTCACCGTTAGCCTCCTTTAACCAGCTGTTCTAGAGTCATCTCCAACTTAGGGCAACTCAAGAGTGTCAGAGAACTGTGTTCCACAGGGTTTCTTAAGGGCTACTTTTTAGAAATTAAATCTCCAGGCTTTTCTTTCAAAGTGCTTCTGGGTAGATTCAAACGTCCAACTTTTCCATTAGCAGCCAAGCTTGTTAAACATTTGCACTACCCCAAGATGCATTAACTTTCATTATTTAGCCTTATTTGAATGTTACTTTAGTCAACTCAACAATTTATAATGCTCTTCCACTCTCATATTGGTATCGTGAACACATCTTTTTGTTTGTTTTCTTCTTTTAAAATATTATCAGCTTCCCAAAGAGCAAAGACTCAACCATTTCTTTCTATTTCCTGACAGGCTGCCATATGCCACACTTGAAGGAAAATAAATGGTGAAGGATAACCATTAGAACTCTAATTTCCCACAGAGTGTCTCTCTAAAACGATGTTTGCCACTGCCCTGAGTTAATATTTTTTTCCAATTTTTTTCTCCTCTTATTTAAAGAATAAACAGGGAATAATGAGGTGTCAACCTATTAATCCATTGTGTCTGCAACGGATTTTTACTAATTTAAATAAGTTCTTTTAATTTCCGCAATTTAAACCTCTTGAAACACCTTTCATTCACCTGAAAAGGCAAAAAGAGATAGATTACAGGCAGAATTGATGAATCCAAAATGGTAAGACACTA